CCGAGACGTTTCCGCCTTCGGTTTCGGGTTGCGACACCACATGACATGATTTTGAGTAAAATCCTAGTGCATAAAGTCCAAAATGACTAGGATTTTGCATAAAGGCTGCAATGACGTATTTGAAGTTTAGAATGTTCCTATAAGTCATGATTATGCATAAAGGCCAAAATGACTAGGATTGACATGATTTTGAGCAAAATCCTAGTCAAAAACCACATGACATAATTGCAAAATCCTGCTGCAATTAGAGAAATCATACATGTCATGATTATACATAAAGGCCAAATACGTCATATGCTTAGAGCATGTCGAATGATACCAGTATAATCTGAGAAGAAGTCATTTAGTGACTTATAGGAACATTCTAAAGTACTTGCAAGAACTAAAGAAATAATCCTAATCTGCGGAGGAATTAAAAGAAAGTTATGTTTGAAGTTGTTACACATATGCTAAATTTTCAAATAGATTGAGATGACTCTCAATCACAATCGGGAGATTCCTCATTATGAATGAAGAGATAGTTACATGGATAGTGGTTCCATGTAGATTTTAATTATAGTTACACATAGTGTTAGAGTACCTCGTGGTTTGGAGAACCACGTACAAAGATGTTTAATGTATAGTTCATTATGACTATGAGTAATCCCATTACGTAAGTATTGGTATCTAAGTCACATTCAAACATCTAATTCATTCTCAATAGTTTTTCTTTATATATGAGTTATATATAAAACTGAAAATGATTATATTCGCAAAGTTTACACAAATCAAGTTTGACCAATCTACTTGACAAAGCTCCATCATTAGCTAAAGCATGAAAGTGAAGCTGGTGCTATAGGGCCTTGTCGATATAAGTAGATGTATTGATTGAAATTTAGTATTTGGGTATTGGAACACAATAAAGACAACATATATTGTAATGGGTTGAGATATTGGATATGAGTCATTCATTGAATAATTGTTGTGTTCTATATTAGCATGTTTAAATCCTTGAATAACTAGGTTATTCTAAATGTCCATAGTCGTTCATAGTTATGGGAGCATCTATGAGGTAAGACTAATATGAATGGATTGGTCAAGAGCTGCTACCAACTTCATAGGTACTTGATTAGAAGAATAAGTATTGGACTTGACCCGCATCAAAACCAATTTATGGATCGTAGTCAAGAGTGATGTTTTGATCAAGGTTGTATCTTTGTATTCTTAGACCTGAGATACATATTTAGGACTTGAAGTGTAGGAATTGTTGTGCTTTGACATGGTTTAACATTGTTTCGTAAAAGGCAGTCACAAGGGCCATCATTGGGTATGACATGAACTACATTGATGGGCGTATGTAGTCGAGATGGGGTTTGTCCCTTTTATTTGTTGAGAGTTAGACATATAAGGCCTCACTAAAAGTTCAACACTAATGAGATTGACGACGATCCATATCTCATGTTCGACATGATGTTCGAGACAAAAGAATAATTGATACCACACCTTTAGTAACAATTGTAGCTTAGAGCTCTTGGAATTGGCTGTTGATGAAATAACACCCTTCATATGTTGTTAGGGGCAGTAGCCTATCACTAGACGTCAGCTACTGTCTATGTCAGTCTATAATGAATCTTGTGTAAGTGGGAGATTGTTGAATCTATATGCCCAAGAATCATTATGGAGTGATATTGCTAATAATATATGATTCTATAGGGTCGCACCTTTATCAAGTTGGCAAATTTTGTATATTTATTAATTAATATGATTATTAATAAGTAATATCAATTCTTTTATTTTAATTAGGGAATAACTATTGTTTTATAAAAATAATAATTATAAGAGAGTATAACTAATTATTATTTCATATGGTATGAATTAATAAGTCATGCACAATATTACAGACTAGTGGGATTCTTTTATCTTTTACCTAAAGACAAAGTTTATATTTTATAAACTTGGACTTTATAAAAAATAAAGAATCCATCCTCTTATGAGAGGTATGGCCTAAATATATATAATCATATGAAGGTTTCTTGTTAACCTCCATGCCTTGCCCATGCTTCTTGAAAATAAGAGAGTTACTTTATATTATTTTAATGTAAAGCCCTTACCTTCCATGGTCTATATGAGAGATGCATGATGCTTAAATTTTGGCTAAGAAAAACGCTCTATTCTTCTTCCTTTCTTCACCTCAAAACCGTAAGTATGAAAGAGTATGATCTCTTTGTAGTTTGATGCTTTACTTTGGTGATTAGAAGCCTTCTTGAGTTGTCCCCTTTAGTGCTTATTTGAGTTAAGCACTTAAAGGCTTAAGACACTCAAGAATACAAGAAGGAACTAGCATTCCAAGTGCCTTTAATCATGATGGTGGATACTTATAGAGAAGATCATGTTCTTTGATCTTTTATTATCTTCATCAACACCCCAAAACCAAGTGGTTTCAAAGGCTTCAAAGGTTATCTCTAAAACATCCTATGGTTGGTTTTATTTCACTATAACTTCTATAAATGGACCAATGATGGTTCAGTTTTGTTATGAACTAAAAATAAACTTGTTATTTTTAAAGGCTTCCGCTGCCGATTTTTGTGAAAAACAAACTTTTATTTCGTATCAAAACCCAACAAAATTAACAAGTATTCTAGAGAGGGAAAATTGAATTTTGAATCAAATCAAGGAATAATTCAATTTTTAGAACAAAACTCTCTCAAAGATGAAGAACTTACACCCATTTGAGATTCAACAAATGATGTTGTCATCATGGATCAAATTCTTGAGAGCTTCAAGAATACCCGCTCTGATACCAATTGTAGTAACACGGATTATGATGACATGTGCGTAATAGTAAAGATCAAGTGAATCAATCAATCATCAAGAACACTAAGAGTAAATAAAATCATTATAAGCTCCATTAGAATTGTAAGAGTACAAGTGGATATTGTTATTTCTCTGACTAAACTAATCTCTCCAAAATGGGTCTTACATAAATAGGAGCCACTCACTTCCTATTTATAGGAAAGGCTAAACCCATTACACGTCACAAGAGGGTAAGCCACACTAAGGATAACTTTGCACCCTAACAAAGCTAAGGAGCCATAAATTTTAGAGTTTTATACCTCCAAAAGGTGCTAGATGAAAAACCAAGTCTGGATCTACAAGTTCCAACCTTCCTAATACATTTCCAATGGACCCCTTCTTCGTCAGTATGAACCAAAACACATAAGAATCACTCTAAGAGCTCAAGAACCTCACAAGTTAGCTATGGTTTCGAAATTATGCTTTGGGACAATGGAGGCTGGTGATAAGGGAGGTCTCAAGGACTTAATGTCTTTTAAATAGGGTCAAAACCCTAAAATTTAGGGTAGGGTCCACACCCTAAAAGTTAGGGTTTGGGATATGTATGAGTATGCTCTGCGTACCACTTGAGTACGACATACATACTCAAAAGAACCCCACCAACTTTAATGAAATACGTTGAACGTACTTAAGGAGAACGCCTCGTATAAGAACCAAAATGCAAGCTTTTTAATAAATTAAGCCAAACATAAAAATACCTGAAACACAAGTGTTACATTAATTACTTATAGGGCCGGTTCTGAGGATTCAAATATCCTCAAATGCCCAGTACGAGTAAAAAAAAAAGACCATTATTGCTATTATAAATAATAGTAATAATAACTAGAAAGTGACCCTACTACGTGGGGGTTATATCAATTGTTGTGACGTGATCGTGTTTACAGTGTGTTTCTATTTTGTGCGAGACTCTCTTTATACCGGATATATGGGCCGTCTTACAGAATGCGGATTAAAGGATATTTTCTGATTACATAGTCATTACATCATTTTAGATTACATAAGTAGTGGCAAAACATTCCTTAATTACAAAGTTATTACATGATTTTAGTTCGTAGAAGCTGATGCAAAAGACATTGATGTTGCAAAAGAGGGTGGTGTTGCTATCTCATGGTGTTTGATGGTCTTTCACGATTTTGTTGTACACATTAATTGCTTCTGACATGTTTTCCTTCATTATCCCGAACATATCGAGCATGAGCACCGTGATGTTGTCAAGGTTGACGATGACGTGTGTGGTTATTGTAAGCCCCTTGTATGGCAGTTCTTCTAGAGCGTCATGTAGTAGTGTCTACATCTTTGTGTTGATTGTTGTGTATGTTTCTTGGAGATTGGCTAAGGAGGTCTTCATCGTCTAGAGGTGGCCGATGAGCTTCTGCATGATGGTTTCCATGGTGTTTGTATGGTTTATGGTGTTATGGCCATTGATCTGGGAATGGTTTTATAGGGTCGAAATGCGGTAGTTGAATTGTAGTAACTATGAGGTATTTAATTTTCACCTGGGAAGTAATGAAAATGGGATGGCTGCGGCAGAGGTAATGAAGGTTCACTTGGTATTTTCTTTTTTTGGTAGCTTTAGGTTATAGGGTTATATATTCCATTTAATGTTAGATGTAAATGTGTGTTTGACTTGCAATGTGAATGGTTAGTTTTTTACTTTTCATATAAATGAAGTGTTGGTTTTCTACTTTTCATATAAATGAAGTATTGATTTCTCTGACTTTGTATATTTTGTTCGTTATGAATGAGGTATAACACATATAATGATAAAATGGTTATTTATATTGGTTTGTAAGTGGATCCTTTTATATATTTGTTTTTTGACGTGTGTGTGTCTTTTGTTAACTTTTATAATTTTGTACATGTAAAGATATAGATTTGAAGCAGTTTACAATGTATGTGGGCCATTATTGTGAAATTGCATGGGCTAATTTACTGGTGTTAAAAAGTATGCAAATGTGAAAGTGTGAATTAAGAATATTAAAACAACCGAAAATTCAGATTTATATATATATATATATATATATATATATATATATATATATATATATATATATATATATATATATATATATAGGACTAGCATGTACGAAACGGAAAGTGAATCGCAATAACATCATTCATACAGAAGGGAAGAGGGTGTTAGTTTTCAGAAGCTAGGGGTGATGATGTTATTGTTGTAACACAAAAGATAGACATATTAGTAGAGCCGGAAGAGGGTGTTTATGTTGATTATGCATCGTGGCTGTTATTTGTTGGTCTGCTTTGGAATATTTTTCGGTGTGGGACCTGTGGTGTGTTGAAAAAAAGTCAGTAGGCTGTTTTAACATATGTATGTATTTTTTTGTATGTGAATGTGTATGTACCTGAAGGGTGATATGATAAGGAGCGTGTGACATTTTGAGTAGCTGCAGATGGCTCTGGTGATGTGTCGTTTTGTCGCTTTCTTGTTATTTGGGGTTGGCGCTGGTGTTGTCGGGATGCACGTGTCGGTCATGGTTGTTAAGGTTTTGTGGTCTATTATTATAAAACATATGTTATCTGGAGATGATCCCCTGAGCATTTGGATGGACATTTTTTTAGTTTCGTCTTTGTGATCTGTAATGGTTGGAGGTAGGGTATCTTCGTCTATGAGCGGGTTGTTGGATATGAAGTTGTCAAGGTTTGGCTTTAGAAGTTTCCGACATGATGTCTCTGACATGGTTGCGGAGATAGTGTCGGTCGCATCGCTAACGATTACTGATAATTTGTATCTATGAAGATGTCATATTTATTAGTATTGTATATGTAGAGTTATTAAGTATATTATGTTCATTGAAGGATGATTACGTGTAGTTTGGTTTCTCGATATGTCCATGGGCACTGCAGAACCATTTGTCGCCTCTTTTAAAGATGGGATCCTTGCAATTTGGGCAAGTGGTTTGGTACCAGCTGTTTTGGAAGACAAAGTCTTTGATGGATGCACACACAAGGAAAGTTTTGTCCTGTATTTTGATGTGAATGGGTGAGATGATTGGTATTTGTTAATAAAGTAGTAGTGGTTTGATATTACCAGGAGTTCTGATTTGCTTTTTGTTTTCATTTCGTATAGGGTAGTAGGTGTTCCTGCCAGTGGTGGAAGCGGTCTTGAGGGTCCTGTAAAACTGATGTGATGGAGTTATTACTATAGAGTATCGATTGTTCTGCATATATTGTGTATGCATAATATGTATGGCTTACAGGTTTATAAGAGATGTTGTTTCTGGTATTTCGGGCTTGACATAGATATGTGTAGCATGTGATGAGCTGTGATGCAGTGCTCCTATAGATAAATCATTTGGACATTAGATATATCACCAGGAAAATCTGATAGTTATTGACGGTATGTGTGTGATAGTATGTATGGTATAATACCGTTAGAGATGGACGGTTTTAAGTTGGTGACTGCAACCACTGTTGTTGCGGGTGGCGGATGCAAGGAGTAATGGTTGAACTTTTGTGGATTTCCTATACAGTCTTTCCATAGATTGATTGCGATTTCGCTGCCACTGATACATTCAAATTTGTGTCTTGTATTAGTTCCGTATAAGAGGACTGGTCATGAAATTTTGTTACTTGTGATGTATACCTTTGGTCTGTTAGTATGAGGAGGACGTATGATTCTCCACCTACTTTGGTGCAGTCTCTGATTTTTGATAGGACACCGATATAGTTTGAAAAAAAGTAAATATAAGGGTGTCAGGGAAAGGTATTGTATAATGTGGAATATTGAGATAAGTACCTGGGTAGTTAGGCGGTGTTTCTAGGAGGTCAATCAGATTTGGCTTGGTGACGAAACGGAACCAAGTTTTGTGTATGGTTAGTGTGTCTGGAATATGTTGAATTGCAGACATTAGTCCAACGTCAATGTAGAAGTCGTTTTCAAGGAATTTTTGATATTTGTCTAGCTTCGGGCAACTGTAATCTGATATTGTGTAACATTCCAAGACGTTAAGTACAGATTCAATATAACTCTGATTGGTTCGTTGGCCAAGAATCTGTATGGCATCCCCCCTGCAAAAATGAAAGATGATTGTAATATAAGATTTTTTTTAGTGGGGGGAAAATGTAATGAACTTATTTCGGATTAAGGAAAGGAAAATAAAGTTGTATTTTCTAGAAATTAGAAAATGATTTTTTGGTATCTAAATATAGGATCGTTAGTGTGTAAAAATTTATTGAGAGTTTCCCTAGATTCATTTGGAAACAACTTACAAATTTGTCGACAGCCAGGTACCAAGTTTCATAGCACGGGACGTTATGTTTCCACTTCCGTAGTATCCTAACCTGTAGGGGACTGTCGATCCCGTCTGCCTTCCGATCAGAGATGCTAGTCATCGGTGGTGTGTGTTCTCTACTTGGAACAAATATATGGGAATTAGTGCTATATTCGGATGCGAATATGGTGTACTATATAAACAGATAGTTCAAATGTGTAATGATTGACAGTTAGATGAAAAAAATTAAAAAATAAATAATTAAGAGAAAATTTTGGATAATGGTTGAGGAACGGTATGACAATATGGGAAAGATGGTTGGTAGTGATATGATAGACCTCGGTTATAGTAACTTTGTGCAATAGATCTTTAAAAACGACGTTTTTTGTTTCATTCTCTTGTGTCGGGCTAGTAGTTTGTATAAGTATTTTTATGGAATCTGGTGATGTTGCTTGGGAAAGGGCGACATAAATTTGACCGTGTGAAAAGATGGGTTGTGGTAAATACACGCCAATTCTACGCAAAGATTGCCCTTGGCTCTTATTGATGGTCATCGCATAGCACACTTTCAATGGGAACTGTTTTCGTGAGAAAGTGAACGGCATGTCTGATGACTTATGTATAAACTTTATGCGTGGTATGTAAACACGTTTTCCAATGCAAGTTCCAGTCATGATGGTTGCTTCAATTATTTTTGGTAGCAACTAGGCAACTATCATACGTGTGCCGTTACATAAGCCTTCTTTTTGGTTGATGTTTCGTAATAGCATTATCGGACACTGTATTTTTAATGTGAGCTCATGTGGGGGTATTCATGGAAAGGTTAGATGGGTTAGATACTCAATTGGATATAGGCCTTCAAAATCCGATGTTTATTTCCCATTTGGTTGGATTGTATCTGAACTGTTATACGTTCTACTATATGATGTAACCATCCTTAGGATCCTTGCATTTATGTCATCAACTATATCATTTGTAGGTGACACAATTGCTCTTACAGAGAGGTCAGAGGCGGTTGGATTTGTAAGTGCACCGTCTCCATAAACAAATTGTATTAAGGTTTTTAAAGATTTAGATCCTGGTGTTATTAGGAGAGAATCTGGGATTTAGATCAAACTTGAGTCTTGTGAGTCGTCTTTGTTAGGTACGCCAATGACTCCATCTCCGATACGCAACAACCATGTTGCAAAAGCATTGCTGGTTATTTCGGATGAATCTACTCTCATGTTCCTACATAATAAGCGAATTCTGAAGAACCGCCATAGGTATGAACTTAGTAGAGTTATACCAATGATCTCTGAACGTGTACATTTTGGTAGGACGGGAAGTGTTTGTCGGAAGTCACCACCAAGAAGAACGGATATCCCCTCAAACAGCTGGTCATCACAATCTAAACAGTAGTTGTTGCATGTTTTCTTCGTGCAGAGAGAGAATCTGAACAGGCGGATGTCGATGGTGTATATGAAAGTTTAAAATGCGCCATGCTGCTTCGTGTGGACATATGTAGCGACCATCTAGGAAATTCTTGACCTCTTCCACAGATCGAACCTTAGGATTTTGTGGCGCATCCTGATCACCAAAGGTTGTAATAGGGGCGGATTCATCGACTGTTTCGGCTTTTTGGATTGCGTATCTTACACGGTCTGCTCCTTTTGACATGTATTTGAATAGGTATTTTATCATCATATTCCATCCACAGTATTCAACATTGATGTGTGCGCGGGAACCGTGACGAAAGCCTTCTATTGTAAGGCACAACGTATCCGTTGTCTATGACCTGTCTATATTGATTTATATGGTGTGCATATGTGTTACGTTTGTAACAAACGTATCCTTCCGTGTCGAACAATGTGGCATCAAGAAAGGGTTTAGGGAAATGCTTGCTGCATTTACCATCTTTCATACATGGAGCTTTGGGTTGAGTCGTCCACAGGGGTCGTGTATCATACAGTTAGTTATTGTCTCATACAGGTCCGGATCTGTGACAAGATCAGGCAGCTCCGCTGTGATATACGTATCAACGTCAGTTGCGGTTCTTATTATGTCTGCTCCCTTTACCCAAAGCATAGTATGGCAAGGGGAAGGCCTCTCTTTTGGAACTCAATGGTGTACAAATCTGCATTGAGAAATACTTTTCTAGAAATCAGTGTTTACAATTTATAATTGATGTAAGTTTGTAAAAAATCATGTGTAGAAATTCGTAATTAAGAAGCATGACAATTTACATGTACGACGTTGGTATTTAGAACTGAAAACGAAGGTCATGGGAAAATGTGACACAATAATGTATGTTTAGAGTTTTGGTTTGGTGATTTGACAAAAGCTATGAGACTAAAAAAACACACACGCACACAGAAAAATAAAAAGAAAAAAAATTAGATAAAATAAAGTAAAGCTTTTACATCTGGATGTTCTAAATCTATATGGAAACTCTGAAACAATTTTCAGGAGCCCTAGTAAACCAAATTGAGAAAATGGGACAACAGCTATAGGGGTAAATCAGATAATTATAAAAAATTGTAAGGAATAATTTGATGGGTTTTGAGCATTCTAACACTTCCTAAGTGTACATGCAACCCTAATAAACCTTGGATCTATGTTTGTCTAAGATATATGCAAATAATTAATTCTCCAAGGTTCATATCCTAACTAGCATGGCATGGGGAACATGAATCAAATAAAGCTAGTAGAAATGCTTACCTTGTAGTAGTAGTTGATTGCTTGGAGTTTTAGAACCTAGCACCAATAGTGTGAATGCCTCAAATGGAAATCACAAATCACCACAAACTTGGAACTTTGAGAGAATAGTCACTACTATCTTGAAATCAGCCCTCACCCCCACAAGTGTCAACTAGTGTGATTTCAAGAACCAAAGCCTCCTTTATATAGTGTGGTGGATTAGGGTTACACCCTAATACCCATGTCTCTTCATTTCCATGAGATCCATGGGTTAAAGCTCCATAGAGTATCCATGGACTTTTCCATGCAAGCCTAGCCCATTCCAAATAAGCATTAGCCCACACTATATAAATATAGAAGCCCATATTTAATTAGTAATATCTTTGATCTCTAAATTAATCCTAGATTAATTATAGATCAATACTAATTAAATAATATGATCTTATATTAATATATTAGAACTTATAATATATTAATAAATCATAACTTGTACTATTCTCAAATATTATCCATAAATTGTTCGGGTGAAGTGCAACCCAAATGGACCATGCGGGTCGGGTCAAGTACATACCAAATATAGTTATGGACTTAGACACTATATCCAACAGTCTCCCACTTGGATAAGTCTAATAACTATAGTTGCAAGTATGACTTCAGGAACCGATCACAATCGTAGCTCTTTAAACTCTGTTGAACTAGAACGCGCCATTTTAGATAAGTGATCATATAATCCTCTGCTCAAGATATCAGCCGGACAAATACATGGAACATGGTCTTACTTATTGTCCAGCATTTGTTTCCCGATTTCCGATTTGTTTGACATAGAACTTAACTGAACACATCAATTTAGTTCTGACCGGGCCCGGTACATAGGTCAAAACACAATCATCGAGGGGCCCAGATATCAGCTTCTAATCCTAGAAGGAACAGATAAACTTCGACTCATATGTTTGTTCTACCACTCATTGAATTATACACAAAGGCACGTTTTATAACATCGAGTTACCAATGCGTTTTCGTACAATCAATGCATAATCAACTCGTAAGTAACAAATCATATCTCTAGGTTTGAAGACTTATATGATATTACCGTCTCACGATCACTCGAGATAAAATTCCATGAAGTGATTCCAGTGAGCGTGGGTTGAGTCCAATGCTCAGAACTTATGAGCACTCATGATTGTTGTAGCCATGTCCAACACCTTAGACCTCTGCAACCAATCATGACAGTCTTGATTCATACCTACTTCCGACATATGACCGACTGTGGAGGTTTGAATAATATGATATACCAAACATAATTATTCTGGAAGTCAAAACATGCAAAAGAAATATAGTAAACGATTGACAAGAGATAGCAACACTTTACTCATAAATAAAACACCTTTTATTCATCATCTAATGTCAATTACACTTTACAAATTTCATAATTTATCTAACTACTAAAACTTATATCATCCTTCAGCCCTATGCTCCGAGCATGCTGGAGATGCTTAACCCTACTCAGTCCCTTCGTGAGGGGATCTGCTGGGTTCTCATCCGATGATACCCTCTTTGCCACGAGGATTCCTTCTTCTATTCGATGTCTGATGAAGTGATATTTTCTGTCAATGTGTCTGGATCTCCCATGATCTCTTGGTTCCTTGGCTAAGGCAACCGCACTATTGTTGTCACAGAAAATCTCCATTGGCTCTTTATAGCTGGTACAACTCCAAGGTCTCCGATGAAGTTCTTTAGCCATATAGCCTCCTTTGCTGCCTCGCTTGCTGCTATATACTCTGATTCACAAGTGGAATCAGCCACTGTCTCCTGCTTGGAACTCTTCCAAGTGATTGCTCCTCCGTTTAAGGTAAAGACCCAGCCCGACTGAGAGCGGAAATTATCCCTATCAGTCTGGAAGCTAGCATCACTATACCCTACAACTCTCAAGTCATCACTCCCACCGAAGGTAAGGACCCAGTCCTTAGTCCTTCGCAGGTACTTGAGGATATTCTTTACCGCAGTCCAGTGTTCCTTGCCAGGGTTCCCCTGATACCTGCTAACCATGCTCAAAGCAAAGGCTACATCAGGTCGAGTACACGTCATAGCATACATGATCGATCCTACAGCTGAAGCATAAGGTAGTCGACTCATTTCTGCTATCTCAGCCTCAGTACTAGGGCTTTGTGTCTTACTCAATCTGGCGTTACTCTGAATGGGTAACTCACCTTTCTTGGAGTTATGCATGTTGAATCTTTTCAACACCTTGTCCACATAGGTGCTTTGACTAAGTCCAATTAGTCTTTTACTCCTGTTTCTCAAAATCCTTATCCCTAGGATATAGGCAGCTTCACCAAGGTCCTTCATAGCGAAACACTTCCCAAGCCAGGACTTTACTTCCTGCAGGGTTGGGATGTCATTTCCTATGAGTAGTATGTCATCCACATACAATACCAAAAAGCT